GTTCCGGCGCGGCACCGTCCCCCGAGCTCTGCTGCCGGGCAGCGGCACCGGGACCCCCCCACGTTGTGCCGCGCTTGTTTGCTGGGCTTCCTTTTTAACAGCCCCCTCCACGCGCATGGAGGCCGTAGTCCCAAAACGTCACAAGGGGCCAGGCTGTGCAACAAAGAGCTTCCTCCGTGAGCAGGAGAAGTTCCCTCCCAGCACACACCAGCTCTGCTGCCTACAGCCGAACAGCCGTTCCTCCCAGAACAGGCGCGAGGACTTGCTGTCTGTTCTCCCGGCCGAGCTCAGGGCCCAGCGCTGCAGGATCAGTACGTCTCAGAGAGCTCAGCAGGCAAAGCAGCACGACCCTCGTGTTGCCGTAGCAGAACCCGCACCATGCACAAGAGGAGGAGCAGGAGACCCAGTCCTCCTCTCAGTCAGAGCTGTGACAGTCTCAGCACCTCCACAGAGGCCTGGAAACGGTCACGGAGAGGAGGAGGCAGCAGCAAGACAAGCCAGGGGTAGCATGGTGAACAAGTGCCTTATAAAAACCCTTGTCTGCTTCCCTCCTCCGGGCACAGGGAACCTGGAACAACCCCAGCCTGGGGCAAGGGGGCCAACAGCAAACATCCTCCTGAAGTTATTACGAAACTCAAACAACCCAAACTCCTGGAGTCTGCAATTTTCTTTGAACTACAACACAAGAGAAAATGTTCAAATGAATTGTTTTTAAACCAGAGTGAAGTAGGTCACTTGGCAGATGGAAATTTCTGCACCTTTCTTTTTTTAGCAGAGGAGAACATTTCAATAAAACAATTACACATTTTGGGCAACATCTCCAAAGAAACCGAAGCATCAACACTCCAGATTGTCAATGACACGTAAGGTCCTCATTTACCAAAAGACACGTGACATACCTAGCTTTAGGAAAGTCACCTTATAAAGAGAAAAGCCAAACATTTTGAAGGGCGAATGAAGGAGCTCTAGGGGAAGAAAAGCCTCCCCCCTCCTCCTCTCTGCCATCTACCACCCTGAGCCCGCACCCTGCCCGTGCCTCAGCTTTCCCGGGGCAGCCTCATAGAAGCCACCACCACAGAGAAGCAGCAGCAGCAGCATGTTCCCCCTCAGAAGCAGCTGGACTGCGTGGGAGAGCAACCCCAGACAACGCCTGGTTTCCTTGCAAGCTCTCCCACCTCCACAGAGCACGAGGTGCAGCCAGCTCAGGGCCTGTTCCCTTTTGCAGGTTGTGTTTCGAACCGTTCCCTGTGATGACGAATGACCCACTCCACCCTTTCCTGCTTCACAAACTAAGCCAGCTTTCTGTTCTCTGCTAGTTTTTTTTTTCTTGAAAAAAACACCCAACAACTTCTGAGTTGCACCCGAGAGAAAATCTCTCCATACTCTGGAATTTAGTCAGGGAAAAAAAATACCTCGTTATCTGAGAAGGCTCCATCCATCATCCTCCTGTCCTTCCCCAAAGCATTTCATGCTCAAGTTGCATAGGTTAAGTGCAGAGAAATACAATGTCTGCTGGTGAGAAAAAGGTTTTCCTGTGCCCTGCTGATGTTCCAAAGAAGCAAATCCACTGTGCCCTGGGTGGGAATGGGCAGGACTGATGGGGAGAGAAGGTAAGAGCAGAGCCCTGAGCCACCACCACAGGTAACTGGTCTGGAGTGATGTCTCGCTGGCTAGGACCACGCGCGTGAGCACGGGATGGTCGGCGAGGGCCAACTGCCACCACTTCAGAGTCTGGGCAGCTGGTGTCCCTGCAAGGAAACACCGTGCCAGTGGGAGGGCACAAGCCATGCTCAGGAGGACTCCTCTCCTCTGTCTGCAAATCCTGTATCTAAAAAGCAATCGAGAACGTATTAATTAGGCCATATTGCAGGAGCTCACGTTCCTCAAGAGGCCAAGCCCATGTCCGCAGCGGCTCTGACTGTGTTGCCCATCCATGAGGACAAGAGGATTTTCCTCCTGCTCATGCTCTCCGCTTGGCCAGTATGTCACCAGCTTGAAGCAAGAAGAGCTCAAAGGTACAAATACACATTTTGGGAAACATCTTCAAATAAACTGAGTAAAAGCTTGCTCTGCAACAGCCTTTTCTACCCTAAGTTCAGGTCCAACAGCAGGTATTAAGTGCAGATGTCCGGACGCACTCCAGCCCATGAAGTCCCAAGGCTGCTAGCTGCTGGGAGCCCTGAGGTTATGATGCACAACATGTTCTCCTGCTGGTACTCCTCCCTCAAGCTATCTGCTGCTGCCCAGTGAAAGAACTGACTGGACTAACTTGGGTCAAGTCCCCATATATAAACATAATTGCTTTTAACAAGCTGAGTTTAACTCAGACCAGACCATAAAACCAAACCAGTCCAAAAGCCCCTTTCCTCCTCATGCCCGTTCCCTTCCAAGGTGGCTCTGTGCCAGCCCTGTTCCAACCAACAGCTCCAGAACAACCCAAGGGCACGCCGAGATCGGTGCCGGGGCCGAAACCTCTGCAATGAACACACCAGGAGCCTCCAAAGCATTAGCTGAAGATTGTGTGTGTCCCACAGGACATCGGAGTAACTGCCTGTACTTTGCCTTAGCTGCATGGAGAACCCTGTAAAGGCTGCAGACCAAGGTAGTCAAGAAGGGATTTATCGGAGGAAGAATGGAAAAAAATGTTCTTATTATTTTTTTTTTTTTTTTTCAGAAACTGTGGCCCTCTCCTAACTCATCAAACAATGAGGTTTTCACCATTTCTGAAAGGAAGCCTAAAGGTAACCTGATGTCCTTTCAGCCAAGGGGAAGAAACCTGGCAAGATTTCAATACCTCTGCATAACAGGGGAGATGGGATTTTTTTTTTCTCCCTGTTAAGTATTTGATCAAGCCTTACAAAGGTGCTAATGTATTATTAAAGCTAATGGAGCTCTACAAGAAATGTTAATGGACATTAAGTTTGCATAAATGAATTACACATTAGCACAGTTGCAAGAAATCTAGTATCTGCCAATTTAGGTACTATCTGATCATTCCTGTTTTCCTCATTACAGGAACATTACTTCCCGCTAGTTTCAGAGATATGAGAATTGTAACCAAGATGTTCATAATGAAACTACATAATGAAGGAGATGAAAGAAATTAAACCAAAACTTCCTCTTCTCCTTCACACGTAATGGGATGTGATAGTTGAAGTGAACCTACAAAGACGAGCCCCCTGAGTCACCCTGGTTTTCTGGGGCACCCCAGCCTCGCCATGTGGACTGTCTGGCCTCCGTGCTCTCGGGAGCCAGGTTCTGGGTAGAGCCGCGTGGGTGCGGCCGGCCCGGGCCCC